TGCAGCGAAGGGAGCTGATACCTCGTGTGGGAGCAGGCGTTGTTCGGATGATATTCTTCGTCGTGGTCGTTGGGTCGTCAGGTACCCGTTGGTCAGATGGTGCCGACGGGTTATAGTAGCCTGGAACGAATGAAGTGAAAACACCTTAAACGCTTCACAGAGGTCCGAAATGTTCACCTGTGGTGCACTCCTGGTTCGGTCGGCACAGCTGACTACCGTGCTTGCATCTCGGTGGAGATGAGAACAGCTTGCAGTATGTGACAACACCAGGATTCAGCTCTTGGCAATAGTTATCACAGCCCGTCAGTCCACTCGAGCCTTGGACATGCGCTGGGGCGGGTTCCTCTGAGGAGATCAGTAAAGAGCCAATTACCAAGACGAGCATGGACGGCCCACCTCTGATCGGTTCGTCAATAGATGAAGAAAAGGGCGCAGTAGCCGAACCAGACACAGATCCCTCTATGGCACCTGAGAGAACGAACTCATGACAAAATCGACGATTTGTGAGTTACAATCGACGCGAGGCACGCAAGGAGAGGTTGAAGGGAGACCGCCTCGGCAGTAGTATCGATCGTTGTGGTACCGGCAGTAGGAGTCGCTTCCGAAGATCTCTCGACAGTAACTAAAACTACGTCAAGGTATCTCAGTGCATGCGACTCACTCATGGCATTGGTCAGCTACTTCTACTGCTGCGAAGGCTTGAGCGACTGTGGCAAGGGAAGAGTAAAGATAAATACGCATTATGCCTTAGGGAGTACTGAACTGAAAGAAAACCGAGCTAGTCATCACCGGAGCACCAGAAGTAGAAGCATTGATGACACTAACAACACATGGCAACATCGGGTTGAAGAGTAAGTCATGCGTGGTGAAGCTCCAACTTCTACTCCTCAGCAGAGTAAACAGTGCTTCTTCCACTCGCTCTCGGCGCGGGCATCAGGCTCAGGCCTAGTTGAGCCGCCTCGGGAAGACAGTGTAGGACCCCACTACAGAGACCATCTTGTCGTACGGTTAGATCGCAGAATATATGAAATCTCGCGGCTGCGCATCAGACCCTGTAGATACGAAACGGTAAGATACCCCAAGATACCCTTCATATCTTCGCGGCACTGGAGAGCCTCGAGATCACGCGTTCGGTCTCACATCGTTCCCTTCCTTGTGAGGAGCATCAATAATCGTCGGGATTACGATTACTCCTCGATGATCTCGCAGTGGCAAGACCAGACCATTCTTCGATGTGCGCACTTCATGCACTTGCACGACCGTGTCTGAACAAATCGGCGCGCGGATGGTCTCTGCGTTGTCGGCTTACTTGCTCCCAGTTGGAATGAGCGCAGGTTAGAATGTGCCTCACTGATGAACTTCAGGACAGATTAGATCCACAGATGCCCGCGATGATTCCGGAGCCCATGTGTCGCCTTCGTTTTTACTACTACGTGCTCCTATAGAAACGACAGTTCGTTTTGGCCTAGCAAGATCTCAGTGCTCGAAGCTGCGCCAATCATTAAGACCAGATCTTAATCAAGAATTCGGGAGACCTATCGGGTTTCCACCCATCCTGCCAGCTGGAATTAGTGGCTCGTATGAATTGGTTCATAAGAGCCAAGTGATAACCAGTTGGTGCATCCATGCGGTGCTTTAAACGACTGAGGTGAACGACTGAATATGTACATTATATCGGTAGGCCGATGGAAGTTACTTTGTCGAACGTAAATGCTACTGTAACCATAGACTGGATTTCGATAGAAATGACATCATTAACCGTCACCCCTATTCCCACGAGAGCTAGGGGACGCAACACACCGCAGTGACAGTAAATTCAAAAGTGACAAGAACTCGATGGTTGCATTGAACCCTAACATGAATGCGTCATTTTAGTAAAACAAACAAACTTAAGCTGTGCGCAACACCGATACTTGACCAGAAACAACATACTAACATGAACTCCCTCACTCTCCCTTTTGCTTTCTCTTCATACTCACAACTCGTGGGAGAGAGACTTCAACGGCCGCCTAATAGTGATAATGCCAGACCACTGACTCATACAAACCTCCTCACCTGCGCCTGCCGCCGCGCAAGCTTCTGCTCTAAGTTCATTCGAGCAATTTGTTCAGCACGTTGACTGTTCTCTTTAGATATTCGTAGCGCCTAGAAAGGTCGGGAATCGCGAACGCCACGAGCAGGAATGTTAGTTGTCACCTCTTCAACGGTGACGATCGAGCCCGGGTCGAAATAAGTCTCATCCTTCTTCTCCTCTTTCTTTATCTGTATCAAAAGGACATTCTCGTCCACACTTACATCAACCCTACATTATGTGGTATATTGAGAGCTTGTTCTACAATAGGCAGCCGCAGTATACGGTTTTGGGTGATTGCCCACAGGGCATTCGTGCCTGCGAACAACTACTCAAATTAATGTACCTCCACCGGTGCTCACAGGTGTAGACAAAAAGGCCCGCAGGAAGGTACATTGTGGCGGGAAGAGCAATGACGCAAAGGGCTCGGAAACCATGGCGGGAATACTTCTGCATAGTCTTCTGGTCAATACCTGCAGCAACACATGAGCACTTCCATAACACAATGAGAATGTCATACCAAGCTTGTTCTTGGTATCAGGACGGTCCCCAGCTTCTGCTGCTTGTGC